TCTTCCAGATTCTGAAGGATATCTTCAGTGGCCCTCAATACAAACCACCATCTCACTGCTTTCCTGCCAGCTTTTTCAATTATTTTGTATATACGTTTCACTTGTGAGCTGGTACTCTTGCGAGGCTGATGGCATTCCGGACTGCCATAGTGGTTGTATTTTTCCGAGTTCCCTACACCCTCCTAATACCATCAAGAAGTGTGATATATGTGGTTTTCAACGATGCTTTCCTCTTGACTAGCTTCAGTCCTGTTCAACATGTTTTTGTGGCTCTGGGTTGACACCGATGCCAATGATGCACTTCCCACGCCTCCCCTGCCAACACCACCAAAACCACCACCACTACTGCTGTGAAACCTACCCCCACCTCTTTCTCCCTTTCTTCCTCCTCCCCTCCCCACCCGAACTTTGAGTGTACACAGCTATAGCTGGGAAACGGAGTAGTTGAAGAGGAAAGAGCTTCAAAATGGTTGACTTGACCACCGGCACGGTAGTGGTGCATCTAGCAGCGGCATTTTTCACCCTCGCAGAAAAGCGCTTGTTCTTTTCCGTCCACAACTGGCTGACTGCATGAGCACTTTTTAGTTGCAGGGGAATCTACAGCAGAACCTTCAACATCTTTATCTTCCTCCTCTTGAGAGTTAAAGAGATTGAGGGTCTAGGAACGACGGAATGTACATTCTAGACAGAGAATGAACTCACCATTATTTCTTCTGGAGATCTGCTGTGGAAATGAGCAAGAAAGCCAATATGCATAATCGAACTGGGCTTACCTCGAGCTGATACGCTACTTCTGGTACCTTGGAGGCACAAGAAGGCACAACGAAGGGTGTGTATCGACTGCAACACGCGATCTACTAGTGTAGTTTGCTCGTGTAAGACTCTGTGAGCTACTAGCAGGAGGTAACGAGTAACTGCATACTCATAACCCAGCCCATCCATAAGTTCATGGCATCATTTCTGCCCTCTTCGGGATGGATAACTGCAATACACATTTTGTAGCTATGAATGAGCCTCCAATGAGTGAAACAGAAGTCTCATGTGGCAGAGAGAACTTCATGGAAGACAACTATATAATTTTTGCTTCCCAGCCACCTTACAATAGTATCCACATTGTAGTCAGTAACATGAATTGCGAATAGGTGTTCCGGACATGAAGCAGGTATGATGTCATCGCAGTGAGGGCATACTCTGTCTCTTAATGTTGGTTTGGCTAGAGCTCCGAAAACACCCTGCATCCCAAGTGCTATTCCAGTTTGAGGCAATCTCATCAGTAGCTGAAACTACAGCAAGTGAATGTTTGGATCTCAAGTCCTGTACCATGGATATCCAGTGAATTTCCTTGCCTTGTTTTTGTGCAGCCATTATGCTTATGCTGGCAGCTCTGACATGGTCAACATGAGCAGAGTTTCCTACATTCAGGCAAAGAAAGGTCCCTGTCCCGAGCTCTCAAGGAATCTCAGGCTATTACTGCAATGTAGAGGTAGGAGAAAGAACTGATCCTTGCTTGACACCACGGTTGACTGGGAAGCTGTCAGAACATTTGTTATTGACCTTTACGGCACTGTGTACCAGTCTTTGATTAGTCACCAGCATTTTCATAACAGGCCATCAGCTCCCCCACTGCTTCTCGTCTACAGTTTGATTAGAGAACTCACAATTTCCTCAGTGGTAATGTGGCAGTCAGGGATGAAGTCCTATAACCCATACTTCCATGTGCCTCATGTCAAAATCGGACTCACGGAATGACACCATCTGTCAATGCTTTCATTAGAGGAGGCCTTACTGCAGTTACGTTTTTTTGCTTGTGTTCTCGTGATGAGCCATTAATTCTGGTTTGCGTGTGAGTGATGGTCAGATAGATTTAGTGAATGGTGCTGCTGAACCTCACACAACAAAACTAATTGGGCAGCCCAGTCAACAGGGGCGTCGGAGCCGCTACGGCCAGTACGGCGACAGCCGTACCACTTTTTGCCTGGACACTTTTGGCCTAGTGTAGGAACCCAGCTAGGTCTTTACGGAGCTAGCAATGAAGCAGAAATCGACCGTAGTATTTCTATCACCACCACGTAAAGTGTAGGGAGTAGTAGCAAGGTCACTCAGCGAGACAGCATTGTGATCAATATTTTCCGTGAGAGAGAGAGTTTGTTTGGCACTGAGTACGGCTGATGTTGGCCGTTGGCGTGAAGTCTCCAATGATGAGAACCAGACCACTTGACTGCAGGGCAGAAACCACATTTTCGAGCTCCTGTAGAGACTCTTTATACACAATGATAGATTCGGTGGGTAAACACCTACAACACTTAGTGAAGTGGATTTCGCTGTACAGCGACAATTCTGTCCGAATCAATCGGTACATTACTCATGGGTAGCGAACTGTTCCATCTGACACCCACCCCACACACCCTATTGTAGGGAGGACCCCTCATGTAATCTGATGTCAGAGTATCTTATGCCCCTAAATCCTGGGACAATTGGATCAAGTTTAGAGAGCTCAAAAGACCATAACTAGTGTTCTGCAAGTACAATAACATCTGACTCTTGAGCCAGAGTCTGCAGATACAGTATTGCATTTGCAAGACCCCTACAGTTACGTACATATAGGCTGAAATACAGATGCACAATTGTGTGCATCGACTGGTGTTGTGGGTTGGTAGTGGAGATGAGTTATTCCATTGTCCTGTGCTGCTCATGGAATCAAGGGGAAGGGCCTTATTGCCAATGATAGCAGAAACTACCTTATGCTGGTGTGTCCGAGGCCTTAGTGCAGCTGAGAGTGGATAGAATCGACTTGAAATCACGAATATCACTTTTCAACAGATTTAATTCTTGCATCACCACAGACGTGGCAAAGGCAAAGATCGGACTCACGGAATGACACCATCTGTCAATGCTTTCATTAGAGGAGGCCTTACTGCAATTAAGCTGTGTTCTCGTGATGGATGAGCCATTAATTCTGGTTTGCAGTTGCAATGGAAGCTGAGATAGATGTGGTTGAGGGTGCGATTAAAGTTGGGGTTCATGTTGTGGTTGATGTTGTGTTGTAGCTGAGGTGGTTGTAGCCAAGGTTCATGTTGTGGTTGATGTAGTGGTGGCTGAGGTTGGTGAGGTAGAGGTGACTTTTAGTAGATATTTGTCAAAAGTCATGCAATCCATTTTCCAATTTCTCAACATACGTCGTGGAACGTTAGCGTCATATCTCCCAATGACACAATGATTTACATACATGTGGGTTGTAAGTGACACAACACTGTGGTAAAAATCGAACATTTTCGATAGTAATACACTTGAACTATGAAGTCAGTCTGTGGGTAGGGAGCTGCCAGGGTTTGGAATGTTCCACTAACCATCATACTAAACATCACTACACCACTGCATTCTAGCATAAATGGAGCAGCTAATACAATGAAATCATGTGGAATTTGTGATGCCTCATCTCTCCCTCTGATCGATCTATCCCTTTCAGTGTCCCCAATCAAGTTTGTTTTTATTGTATGTTAGGCCATGCATAACTCTGATGTTACAGACACTATATACACTAACCATCCTACCAGTCACTACACCCCCGCATTCTAGCATAAATGGAGCAGCTAGTACGATGAAATCATGTGGAATCATTCCAATTTATCGTGACCTCTGACTAAGTGAAGACACTAGGCAATGCAGGATTCGTTGCAACGAGCTGAGTTTGGGCTACTACTTGCTGAGACCAAGAGTATAACCTTCGCAAACTGGCAACACGCGTGTGATTGGTCAGCCGAACTCTAAGCTCTAGATAGCTCTTTCGTGAAAGCCATGGTTTGCCTCCACCGGTACTCCAACTGTCTTTGCTGACTCCAGGGAGTAACGTAAGCTAATCTCGCGTAGGCACTCAAGAAAAGCGTTTACCTGGAAAAAAATGAGGGGCAATTGCTACGCCCCTGAAACACCCTTTCTCGTCGGCGGCAGCTACTACGTGAGAGTAAAGATGTGGATTTGAAAGGCAAGCCTCATCACATATTATAAGCGATCCCTGTCACTAGCTACACACATTATCTTCCATCCCTGGTGCTACACAAGTACTTTCCTAACAATAAACAATCGCTATGCTTTCATCCAGGTCCTCTTCAATAGCTCAGAAAAAGGGTAGTTATCCCCGATCTTTGAGGCAAAATAGACAGACTCTTACGGTTAAATCCGAAACTTGGATGGAGTATTTGCGTTACTTTGCATTGTTAGCGCTTTTCTCATGTGCCTTTGACGTTGTTCACATGGCATTATGAACCACTTGCTACTAGCGATTTGTAAATTGATATTAACCCATACCATACACAGCCGTTTCTACTTCCTTCTCAACCAGATAATACATGTTGTTGACTGACTGGACCTGTGTAATCTGATTGACGATCAGCATGTGACTTGGCAACATTGTTCATACTTTCATTTCGGTTGGTAGTAGAATTGAGGCTCTTGGACTGAACATTTTAGAGATTATCTTTGAGCCTTAACAAACGCAATCAAAGTCTTCTCATTGGAAGCATCAAGAATCCCCTTCACATGGACTGTTCCTTGCTGAAAGTCAAAATATCTCTCAAACTCCTCTAACAGATTCATTAGCAACATGTCGGTCACTTTTCGCCTTATTATATTATGCTTGATGTGAACAAATCATAGTTTGTTCAGAAAAGACACCTTTACCAGTGCTTGCTCACCATCAGTACACAGAGCAATAATGTTCCTTATACAAGGTTCTACCTTTAGCAAGTTTAAAAGAGAGTAGTATGAATCGTCTGTATGAACAAAATTAGTCCAATATTTTGATGTACTTTTGTTCTCAACATGGTAGTACATGAATGTGGTTACTGTCACATAGAATTTAAATGTTGGATCTATCCCGAAAACACAAGAAACACCAGAGTTGGTACAAGCTCTAACAATATCTTGAAGCTGACCATCTGTGGCTAAAACACACCTAGATCTGGTATCAAACTTACCACTTCACATGAACCTCCTCCCTCCAGGCATGAGGTCTGCCTTACACTGCTGAACCAATTCCAACAGTGGATCACTTTTTCCAGGTTTGTCTGTTGTTCCTGTTGAGTGTTCATTTCGCTGTTATACATGGCAATGATTACTTTGGAGTTGGCTCGCAATGCAAAACAGACACAACAGTTTTAGGCTTGCCTGGTTTTTGCTTAATCTTTGACAGGGTTTGTTTGTGCGGTGGTAGGAACCTTTTCCTTTTTGGCATTACCATGTGGTGGTACAATCGCAGGCACTTTATATAGCAAACATTAAAAACACCTATCGAGTGTGTATTTCTGGGTAGGAGGATCACACACACAATAATGAGTATAGGTGTGTTTCGGAGGTTCTTTCTACTCACCTAACTACACGGCAAGAACACCATAGATCATGCGAGAACGTGATCCGTCAGAAACACTTACTATAACGTGCACCATAAGAAATTCCCCCTCTAAAGCCACTATTTCAGAGACATTATCATACGCATTGTTATTTACATAGCTAAACTGTCAGGTTTTCCTTACACAAAGACATGTGAAGTTTTGCTTACACTAACACAAGAGCACAGATGTTCAGTCCTAAAAAGACACCTTCGAGCTCTCTTTCACAATGGCGGACTGGTAAGGTGAGAAGGCGTAACTCTTGCCCTAAGCAACTCTAAATCACTGTCCTTAGCAGTGATGGCCTGTGAGCACAATATCTTCAACCATTCCCACTAACACTCACTCTTTTTTCTTCTTGGATTTTATCGCTTTGGTTTACTTCCTTTTTCAGGAACTAACTTCTTTCAGCTCTGTGTTCTTGGCTGTTAAAACAGTTCTGTGTCATTCGAACTGTGCACGCTAACGTTTGGCTATCACGTCCACGTTTAGATGAGGTGTCGACCAAGAGACAATGGCAGCTTGCCAGTGAGCTGATCATCCTGACATCACAATTATGGTAAATTGTTTGCGCTTGTTTCTACATTACACAAGCGAAACTTCAAAGTTCCGAACGAGAAGGGAACTTGGATGGTTTCATGGAAATGGACATCTCGTTCCTAGGGAAGACAATCACAACCACAGTGTATATGATACAGCCTGTAATCTCTGAGAATAATGATGTATTATCTTTGGCCTTCCTCGAAATACTGCAAAGCCCAGAGTTTCTACCATTATGATCAGTGTTGAATCTACTTGCGAGCCAGAGTACTCTGGCTCCTTTCAGGTTGGAGTCCTGTGCAGATCAGAACCTACTCATCAAAGGCCGGCACCTGCTAAAAGATGCTACTTTTGGCACACCATAAGTCGGTCATAACCAGTATGTTTGGCGCCACCCACGGAGTGCCTAAAGCAACCAGCTGAGATCATCACTCTGGAAAACTAAGCAAGCCACCATTAGCAGCAGAAGAAGAAACTGATGGAACTGTTTTCTCTCCAGCACGTTACTCAGTCGGATTCTTAACAGCTAAGCATCTTCCTCGTGGTGGGTGTCTTCTGTAGAGTATATACAGTCACACATCAGTCCTAACTATGGAGATTGATACTGGAATTGCAACACCCTGGAACAGCTCTCCCCAACGTTTGCTGTTTTTTGTCTGAGAAAGTAGAACATCAGTTGAAGAACATGCAGGAAGATGGGGTTGTCCCGCCTCCCAATTCACCCTGGTTCAGCAGTCATGGTGCGTGAGAAAGATCCTAGTCACCATTTCTACATCAAATCCTGAACTCCGTCAAAAAACCTGATTTATCAAGTTAGAGGAGCTTGCTACTTCTGCTGTTGTATATACCTTCAAACCCCACTTGCATTCACTGGATCCACATGCTAAGATCTATATTAGGGTCAAGTTGCGGCCAGCAGACAATTTTTGTGTTGACAACGCTCTCTAGTTCCACAAGGTTGTCAGTTCGAGTCAGACCATTTTTCAAATTATAGACCTACCTTTCTAAACCTTTATTACGTGTAAATTCCCTTGGGCAAGGTATGCCGTTGAGAGCATAATGGTGGTTTCTGCGAGCATGTGACTTGAAACAATATACTTGGTGCAATCATAATATTGCACGTAGACACAAAATGTATCGCTCTATGCATAACCACAAGAGGATATACAGAAATGGATTATCATTCTTAAATTTTGCTTAACACAGAAGACTCATCTATTTTTGCATTTACTGATGGACATTTTGGCTTTTTCTTGTGTGTCCTGTAATTGAGGGTTATTGGCTATGCCCATGGATGTAGCAGAGTTGCACAGCTTAAGTCTTAGTCAAAACCAAGAGGGTAACTATGGAGATAACATGTGTACCAGAGCACATCTGTCTGCTTTCCATGCTCGTTATTCTGGCATCACATGTCTGTAAATTGTGCCGTTTCATCAAAGGCTGCTGTACTTTTCCCGGCAGACTGATTTCATTGGCTGTTATGGTGCACATACGCAGGGAGGGTTACTGTAGTTGCCGTGTGTGTGTGTCTGTCTGTCTGTCATTCCACCCAATATCTCACTTAACGAGCCACAAATAGTATTCAGCGACAGGAATGTAGGGTTTTCTCTGAAACTGTTGCTTTTGAGAGGTTTACGGCGTGAAAACCAAGTGAACGAGCCAATATGCTAATTAGCATGGGCTTACTTCGACCCGATGCGCTTGCTCTGCTTAGCTACGTATATACCTTGGAGGCACCAGAGATTGCAATGCGGGGCGTGTATCGATGCTCGCATGTGTAGCTAGCTTGTTGCCGACTCTCAGCGACCTGGTAAGAGACCACGAGTCGGTAAAATTGCCCAGCCACCCATCAATTAGCAGTACAACACATGCGCGTACTTCCGCACACGGGTTTCATTCCCAGGCCCTTTGCAATCTGTTCCTGCATGCGCGAGATAATCTCCGTAACATATCCTGTTCTCACATAGGCTACAATTCTGCAGAGAACGTTTACCAAGCCTATTGTTGAGCTAAAACATAGCAAATACACAGCGAAAAATGGGCCTCTCTTGGTAGCATGCTTACCCCGTCTGGAGCCTTTCACGGAAGTCTGTGTAGGTCAGTCTTCCTCGACTTTGCTTACATAGAACCTTCTATAACAAGTGCGCTCATCTCCGCCAAGGGTTTGCACTTTAGTACTTTTCATTGTGTATATACTGTTATGCAACAATTTCTGCGCGATTATGTTCATGTTGACCCCATACCTATTGTTTGACACATTATATTTGCTTTATTTTTTAGATATTCTACTGGTCAAGTTGAGAAAAGGACAGGTCAGATATAATTTGTCCCCCTTAGTACAATAGTAGTATGATAATACTTTCTTACAGGAGCTCAAGCTTAAAGCATATGCAACGAAAGTGAGTTATATTAGCAGATATGTACTCTTTCATAGGAACCAGAGGAACCCCAAGAACCATAGGAACCATACGAACCCCTGGAAGCAGGGAACCATAGAAACTCATAGGAACCAGAGGAACAAAGGGAACCATAGGTATATACTAGAGGCCAGAGGAACCATAGGAACCACAGGCACTAGAGGAACCAGAGAAACCCCGGAACCCAGGAACCCGAATGTACGAATCCAAGGAACCATAGGCACTAGAGGAACCATAGGAACTACAGTAACTGAGGACTATAATTATGGTGGTACATTAACACTAGGAATAGGAATGGAAATATGGAATAGGTTTTCATGATAGCTTACATGAGGAACCTACCGAAAATGGTGAATATAACTGGATTCATACTCGAAGTCACATCGCGTGCTCAAGTTTTCGTCCCTTTATTGTCGCCACTCTTAGTAACAACATGAAATTGTAGTTATTGATGCTGCTGAATCTTAGAAACACTGATCTTAGTTTTACTCTGGGAAGTAGACTGAAAATTAGCGGATGTCCAGCTGCCTCCTGTTCACTGTCCTAGTAATGATCAAACTGAGGCAGTACAGGATCATTGTGCAATCAGCGTTGTTGATTCATCGTCTTGTGTATTTCCTTCTGATAAGGGACAGCATACCTTTCCATAAGGTCTGTATCAAATTGAAATTGATGCAATAGTTGAAACACCGGCACTATTCTTAATTCCCCTCTCACCCTTTGTCATATAAAAGACTGAGTTTGCTCTTTCCACTACTTCATTCCAAGCCTTCTTCCTGAGAATTAAATTCTTAACCTCTCCATGCAGATAACGTACAATATGCTTCCTGTAACTTATCCTGACTTATGATGTAAACCTTCCTTCCCTCCCTTTGTATCATCATTCAACTGCCCTGCGACCCACCTGTTTCTCCCCTTGCCTACCTTAGCCCTTTAACCCTTACCACCTATATGCCCCACTCTTCAGAAGCTGTACAGACTATCCTGCTTCTACCCACACCAACATTCTTCCTAACACTCTCTGAAAATGAAAATGATCTCTACTTCGCTAAGCCCTTGCCACTTTTTTATTTGCTCTAATGTCGTCCCGTCAGTAAGCTGTGTGGACTGTCCTGCTTCCGCCCACATCCACTCTCAGTGCTGGGCTATTCTATGCTCTAACCCCACCTTCGGCGGA